AATGGGGGGGAAATGGGGGGAATGGGGAAAATGAGGGAAAACGAGGGAAAATGTAAAATGGGAAAAAATGGGGGAAAATGGGGGGGAAAGTGGAGGGAAAATGAGGAGAAAAAGGGAAAAAATGAGGGGAAAAATGGGGGAAAATGAGGGAAAATGGGAAATGGGAAAAAATGGGGGGAAATGGGGGGGAATGAGGGGAAAATGAGGGAAAAATGAGGAAGGAAAAGGGAAAAAATGGAAAAAATGGGGAAAAATGAGGAAAAATGGGGAAAAAGTGGAGGAAAAATAAGAAGCAATGGGGAAAATGAGGGGAAAATGGGGAAAAATGGGGAGGAAAATGAAGGGAAATGGGGAAAAGAAAAAAGTTCAAGTCAAACAATGCCAAAAAATTCCAGGAAGCCCCGCCCCCTTTAGCCACACCCCCTTAGCCACACCCACTTTAACCCCACCTACTTAAGCCACACCCAATTCAGACTCCACCCACTTTAACCCCACCCCTTTGACCCCACCCACCTTAACTCCACCCCTTCAGACCCCTCCCACTTTAACCCCACCCCTTCAGACCCCACCCACCTTAACCCCACCCCTTCAGACCCCACCTGCTTTAACCCCACCCCTTCAGACCCCGCCCACTTTAACCCCACCCCTTCAGACCACACCCGCTTAAGCCACACCCCTAAAGCCCCACCCATTTCACCCCACCCTCTTAAGCCCCACCCACTTTAACTCCAGCCCCCTCCATTTGACCCCGCCCCTTTTACCTCAGGCTCCGCCCACTCCTCGCTGTCCCCACCCTCCAGGGGGCGGAGCTGAGCCAGGGCGGTGACGCAATGGGGGTGGAGGGGCGGGTCCCAACAGCGCAGGGCCTGATGGGAAAGGGGCGGAGCTTAAGGTTTGGTTAAGGGGTGGGGCTAAGCAGGCAGGGCTTAGAGGGGCGGGGCTTAAGGGGAAGGGGAGTGGCTTATTCAGGATATGGAAATGTGGGTGGGGCTTATCTAGAAGTGGGTGTGGTTCAGGAAGGGGAGTGGCTGAGCTGGAAGTGGGCGTGGCTTGGCACAAAGGGTGGGGTTCAAAGGGGGTGTGGCTTTATCAAAGGAGAGTGACAAAATTAAAGGAGTGTGGCTTAACTGGGAGAGGGCGTGGCTTAGCACAAAGCGGGCGTGGTTTAACACAAAGGAGTGGTTTATAACAAAGTGAGCGTGGTTTATCACGAAGTGGGAGTGGCTTAGGGCAAAGTGGGAGTGGCTTAGCACACAGTTGAGTTGTTCATCACAAAGTGGGAGTGGCTTATCACAAAGCGCGTGGTTTATCACAAAGTGGGTGTGGTTTATCGCAAAGAGGGTGTGGTTTAATGCAAAGAGGGAGTGGTTTATCGCAAAGTGGGAGTGGCTTATCACAAAGGGCGTGGTTTATCACAAATTGGGCGTGGTTTATCGCAAAGAGGGTGTGGTTTATCACAAAGTGGGAGTGGTTTATCACAAAGTGAGCGTGGTTTATCACAAAGTGGGCGTGGTTTATCACAAAGAGGGTGTGGTTTATCACAAAGTGGGAGTGGTTTAGCACAAAGTGGGAGTGGTTTATCACAAAGAAGGCATGTTTTACCACAAAGTGGGAGTGGCTTATCATAAAGAGGGTGTGGTTTATCACAAAGTGGCAGTGGTTTATCACAAAGCGGGGGCGGTTTACGACGAAGTGGGCGTGTCCCGCGCCAAGGGGGCGTGTCCCACCTGGAAGAGGTTCTGCAGCACCTCCCCCTGGAGCCGGGGGTGCCGCAGCGCCGCCCCCAGCAGCGCCAGCACCACCCCGGCGTGACCCCGGGCCAGCGGCTCCTGCAGGGCGGGGCCCAGCTCCGACAGCACCTCCCTCACCTGCGGGGACACGCCCACCACCCTTAGACACGCCCACCGCCCTTTGACACGCCCACAGAACCCTCACAGCCAATCAGGAAGTCGCTCCCGGTCACATAATCCCTTTAAGCCCCACCCCTTGGGGTTTTGGTGCGTTTAAGCCCCTCCCACCACACTGCTGGCCAATAGGAATGTCCTTCTAAGCCACACCCCCTCTAAGCTCCTCCTCTTTCAAACCCCACCCCTTCAAGCCCCTCCCACCACATTTCTGGCCAATAGAAAGCTCACCCTGAGCCACACCCTCTCTTAGCTCCACCTCTTTACCATTCAAGCAACTCCCCCCCTCCTCCCAGCCAATCAAATTCTCCCCTTTCATCCCCACCCCCTTAAGCCCCTCCCACTTATCTTTCTGCCCCTCCCACCACTGTCCCAACCAACGACATTCTCCCTTTAAGCCACGCCCATTCCACGTACCCAATTAAACCCCACCCATCCCTAATTAACATTTTAAAGCCCCACCCCCTCCACCCATACTTAGCCACGCCCATCACCCTCCCAACCAATGAGAACCTCAGTTTAGGCCTTGCCTCTTTAAGCCCCACCCCCATTTCCCAGCCAATCAATCCATTTGGACCCATTTAGGCCCCGCCCACTTCAGACCCCTCCCCCTTTAAGCCCCACCCCCAAAGAATAACGGAGCTAAGCCCCGCCTACCACATCCTCGGGGGCGTGGTCCAGGAGGCGCTGCAGGCCGTGATTGGCCACTCGGTGGGAGGCCACGCCCCTCAGGTGACCCTGCAGGTGACCCCGGAAGAGCTCGCGGAGCCCCGGGGGGTCCAGGACCGTCATGGCCGCCTCCAGGAGGCGGGACCGGGCGGGGTCCTGCAGTGACGTCAGCAGAGGGCTGGGCCAATCAGAGGAAAGGGATCAGTGGAAGCAGCCAATCAGGAAAAAGGGATCCAGAGAAGCGGCCAATCAGAGAATAGGAGTTGTAGGCCACAGCCAATGAGGGAAAGGGGACCTACAGGAGCAGCCAATTAGAGAACAGGGGTCAGGGACAGCGACCAATCAGAGAAAAGGGATTTCAAGCAGCAGCCAATCAGAGAAATGGGATCCAGAACAGCGACCAACTGGAAAAAAAGGATTCCGAACAACAGCCAATCAGAGGACAGGAGCTGATGGGCGCAGCCAATCAGGGAAAGGGGATTCGGAGCAGCGGCCAATCAGAGAACAAGGATCAAGGACAGCGACCAATCAGCGAAACGGGATTGGGAAAACCGGCCAATTAGAGAAAAGGGATCCTGAAGAACGGCCAATCAAAGAAGACGTATCACAAACAGCGGCCAATCAAGGCACAGCACCCACGGGGAACAGCCAATCAGGGAAAGGGGATCCAGAGGAGCGGCCAATCACAGAATGGCAACCGTGGCTCCGCCCAAATTTGGGGAGAGATCTCCCAATCACATGAAGGGGCGTGGCCAACGAGGGGAGGGGCTTCCAATCAGGAAACGGGGCCTGGGAGCGCCCAGCCAATCAGAAAACAGCAGCAGGAACCCCCAGCCAATCAGCACTCACCTCTGGTCGTGGGCGGGGCTGTCCTGGCTGAGGCAGCCAATCAGGGCGCTGCAGAGGCGGGCGCAGGAAGGCGATTGGCTGCGGTGCAGGGCAGACAGCGCCCCCTGCAGGCAGAGGCTGGCGCAGGCCGGGCTCAGCAGGGCTGGGGGGAAATTTGGGGATTTTTGGGAAATTTGGGGATTTTGGGGGGAAATTCTGAAATTTGGGGGAAATTTGGGGATTTTGGAAGAAAGTTTGGGAATTTTAGGGGGATTTTAGGGGGAAATTTGGGATTTTTGGGGGAAATTTGGGGAGAAATTCGGAAATTTGGGGGAAATGTGTGAGATTTTAGGGGAAAATTTGGGAGATTTTAGTGGGAAATTTGGGGGTTTTAAGGAAAAATTTGGGGAAATTTGGGAATTTTGGGAGATTTTAGGGGGAAATTTGGGGATTTTAGGATGTTTGGGGATTTTGGGAGATTTTATGGGAAAATTTGAGAATTTTGGGGAAAA